GTCACTTGCTTATACTCTGCTATAGTACCTTCGTACCATATCTCGGACATAATACCATTACTTTCATTCGCCCACAGATGAGAGATTTTCATTTGCCCACAGATGAGAGATTTTCATTTGTAGCAGAATTAAAGAGTCCATGATTATTTCCTTAATATGAAGGTGATCATTTAGATCTTTGGAAGACATCAGGATAGACAAATTTTCTTTCAATTTCTCTACGGGAAATTGTTTACCTTGCCCAGAGAAGCAAAACAAAGATCCATCGGCCTTCTGATTGAGAATTTTCTTTAGAACATTAAGTTGAGCCTTCAATGCGATCAGTTTCCTTTTCTTTGTTGTTAATACCTCCAAATGAGAATTCATATTTTCATCATTTTGCCACAGTCCACCATACTGCATCAGATCATTCAGCAAATTTTCGTGTAGCAGCCTGGCTCTATCCGCACTATCAACCATTTCCTGCTTTCCCTCCTTCAGGTGTTGCTGCTTCTGTGCTGACAATGTTTGGCTTCTTTCGGCATCAATTTGTTTGCTATGCAGGGCAAGCATTTGGGCCTTGAAGTCTTATTGCATTTATAGACTATCTTACTTTCAATATAACTCAAACTTGCATTTGGCGCTCGTTTCACGTAATGGTGGAGCAATCCAAAGACTCGTTCGCCACTAATGTTATTGCTAACACATGATTTCGCCTGTATCTGTAACTCATCACTAGGACTATGATGAATGCCACCTGGTAGTTGATCGTCTAGTTGTCTACGGCAGATTTCAAGAATAGCATCAAGAAGTGTAGTCAACAGACCTTCCACTTGACAGTCATCTTCCTGTGAGGTTGTTAGCTTCTTGAACACAGCATCTTTAACCAATGGTACTTCTACAAATAGACTGCTTGCTTCCCCTGTAACAAGTGAATCTGTGTTTGACTTCCATCCTTCCATTTTTTCTATGGCGTGTGTGAATGGAGTATTCAGCTCGAGGATATTTTGATCCTTTTCAACTAATTTCATCCACGGGCCCGACACATATTTTCCAATGAGGCCAAGTGCTCTACATCCTGTCTGGTATTCTTTGGTTTTACTATCTACTAATACTGCCCGCTGTAAATCATTTGTCGGCGTCCACACTTTCGTTAAGAATTCCATTATGTGCAGCAGCAAGAAATAAACTGCGCCAGCATTCCGATATGTGGAATCGGCTACCCATTACAGGAGATAATATTTCGCTTACTCTAATGCCTCGACCCCTCAAGAACACATCAATTTCTGATGGCAAGCCTACTGCGTTGTTATATAAACAAAGTCTACAAACAGCACTGATAAAGCTCTGTGCTCCACTCGGACTCCTGCGTTGAAATGACATAGGCTTATGTTCCGGAAGGTTGTCATCTTGTCATCTTGACTTATGGGGTGCATGGCACAGAAAAAGTGATTTAACTGTTTATTTCCAACTGACATTGATTCAATCAGTTTCCTTGTTGACTGCCTTGTTAACACCGCAGCGGTCGGTTATTGTGTTTGCTATAGAGTCAAGGAGGTATTGTTTCGATGCTGACCCTCCAACTGCTTTGTTCGCAGCTTCTAGATCTTCCAGTGACTGTATTATCCCCACAGCATTTGCCGAAGCAGTTCCCGAAGGAAGGCGAGTAATACCAGTAGTATAGGTGGTTTTTTAGTCAGCAATTTGAACCTCTAAATAGTGAGTACGCTTTTTGTTGGTTCCGTCGTACTTCAATGTTGTATTGTTTCCCGATTGCAAGACTTCACTAACTTGAATTCTTGAAAGCTCTTTCATTTCTCTCAGCATACGCAAGCAGGAGGCCGTATCTGGCAGAACACCAATCTTTAGTTTACCAAGTTCTTCAATTGCGTATCGCAAAACATTTGGAATGTTTCTGGCTGGAACCTCATGCTCAAGGCAAAAGTATACTGCATTGCGCACTGGCCAGTTGAACGTTTTTCCATCTTTTTTTGTGATGATCTCTCTTGACGATAATGATGTTAATGTAACAATTTCTTCGTTGAGTTTTGCATTTTCATCTTTCAATCGTCTCACTAAGTTTTGTTGCACCTTTCATTTATCTTTTGTACATCTGCTGCCAGGTTTTGTGTTTTTTTATTGAACTTGCTATTTTGTCGGTACTTTTGCTTCTTAAGTTTTGATATTTCACCCTTGAAGTTTGTGAGTTGTTCATCTACAGGAGTTAAAGGCTGCCTCATCTTTTTCATTTTATGTATTTTTTCTCTCAGTGAATTTACCTGCAAACTCTTTCTTCTAATTGTTTGGTTTTGTCGCTTACAACTGCCAATCCTCTTTACCAAAACTTTTGGTTTTACCGCCAGTTGCCTATTCAGCTCTGTTATTGAAGCTTGCTGTAACTTATTTTCTGCTGCCAACTTTTCATTTACAGAAAACTGCAACTCACAATCTTTGCATGAAGTCAGTTGGACCACCTGGTATCGCCGCCATTTTACAGGTTGCTTTTTGTTTGCTTGTGGAATAGCAAACATTTCCAACATGAACAAATCTAACTTTGGTTTGCTGTTTTTTATTATCTTCTGTCTTGTGTCCTTGATGCTAGCAATTTTTGATCGCAGGGTACTGTCCTTGATATTGGAAACATCAACATCGTTTTGTTGTAGGATTTTTAGTAACTAAGTGATATGTGCTGAAATTGGTTGCTTCAGTTTCAGAACAGCATCTCGCATCTCCAGAACAGCACCATTATTTATGTGTTGACCATTAAGCCTACAAATGCCATCTTCATTTGTGCTTGATAGTCTAATACATAGTGCATCCGAATACACACCGACATAGTGTGGGTCATCATCCATCTTCTATTAATTATCAATGTATAGGCCTTATAGACTTTAAAAGGGAAGAAACAAGTACTTACCATCATCGAGCATGTTAGTCAAAATGTGTACACACAATGAGATTATTAGGCCTAGCAGTATTAATAAATTCATGCTTTTAAAATGTGTGATATTGTCTTTATTTTTACACACAGTTCCAATGAAAAATTATCATTGGGATTGACTATTACAAGGAAAATTAAAATCGATACGATGATTGTAAAATGTATTATAGAAATACCATTTTTAATTATTAAAAAAAAAGGGGAATAAAATAAAAAAAAAAGCAATAAAAATTAGTTTTCAACGTTATAGATAATATACATATACACTTGACAATTCCTATAATACATTTAATTGTTTTTTAAATATCTATCTTTTACCATAACGTTATAAATCTTAACTAAAATCTATTGTACAAGTTTACGAATGCTAGGCCCAAACCATGGGCTTAGGCACCACTACAGCTAGCGGGGAAAACGATGCTTTCGCCACGACAAGGCGTAAAAAAAATTAATGAGGGTGCCCTCACAATTGTCGGGTCTTGGCCTAGGCCCGCTAGGCGACGAAGCAATATAATATAATATTTTCAGAAATCTAACTTTTATCAGCTACACTAATATTTTGAAAATCTTTCTTACCTTAATATTTCAATATCTGGAGAAAACCGACAAGGTAATGAAAAAGCTTGTAAAGCACTTCTAATATTCTTTATAAACTTTCGTAGTACTTAAAAAACTTCTACAGAACCGAATCTCACGCTTGAAAAAAACATAGCCTTGTTGACATATTAATGGAGGTTGTCTCGAAGTAGTTCGGGCACAATTTCACAATTTAACGATATTCTTCCGCAAACTACGATAATACATGTGGGTATCCTATTCTCCGTCGGGAACTATTTCCTATCCCGTTTTCTGTATCGACAATCTATAGCGCCCTCTATCACTTCTGAGCTTACCTACCACAGCCCCAATCATGGTAGGGTTTTGAGGTAGTCTACACTCTCCATCTGTAAAATTCCCTCCCCGGGTACCCCTCTACAGGTATTTCAAATTCTTGTATCCGCCACTGTATTTTGAAAAAGTAGTGTGGAAATAAATATTTTGCATTCCTTAAAATCAATTAGATACAGCTTATAAAAGGCTATAGGCGCCAGAGCTTCCAGGGGCTTCGCCCCTGGGCTCCCGCTGGGGCCCTAGGCGGCGCCCTAGCTCCCAACCCTTTCTTATTTTGCTTTTCGTCCCCCCCACTTTCAACCAATGATCGATGCCCTTGTACAGTACTGTAATTATATGTCTTGATGAACACACTTTTTTGTATACAGTATTTCTTATAAGAAATGTTTTGTTTCATATTGGAGAACAGGAGGAGATTAGCATGATGGAACCAGTCACACCTAGTGTCACCATCGACATAACTGAAACACGGCCAGCAACTCATGCTCTCTTGGACTCGGAAGAGACACCAGACATAGTAGAAGCGGATGCAACACATGTTTTGGATATGTCCAGCAGCCGTGCATTGAGTGAGACCAGTGTTATAGACACCCAAGCAACAATCTCTGAAATCATGCGACTCATGGAATCGGATCCATTTGATGCTGACCAAGTAAGTCCATATTGATTGTATCGTCTGAATTTTAATAGTTACATAATATGGCACCATTGGGTTTCCTTTATTGTGTGGGGGACATTGCTTTGGCCACAAATAATAAAGGGATAATGTATTTCAAATTTATAGCCATCCTTATTAAAGGGATACTTTTTTTGTGTCAAAGGTATCATCTTACCGAGGGCTCTACTGTACAATAATACTGTGTAAAAATCCATTTAATGGCTCATGTACAGTAGATCCGGGAATCTCCCGGAATCCCGGAAATCTCCCACACTCCCCCAAGCAAGCAAGAATCTCCCGGAAATTAACCCATCTCATAAAATTCATAATTTAGCATGTTTTCACTGCTTTATTATAAATTTTCCCACAGAAGTCGGTGCAGATGGGTGTGACTATGTACATCAAAATAAAATTAAAGTGTTAAGAAAGCTTACTATTACCATTATTAGCCAGGTAACAGATGGAGTAGATAAAAAATTATATTCAAATTTAAGTGTGAGATGGCCTTTTCCGGCCATCTGTAGGTGCCTAAATCATAAATTTTCTTACCTCACCTCCAACCATGGTAGCTGAGGTGTCGACCATCCATCTATAAAAGTGTCTCCCTGCCCTCCACCACCACCCATCAACCCGCCACCGCAGATCTCCTGGAAATAAATTCCTTCAACTTGGGACCCCTGACACACTATCAAGTTATCTCTGGCTGATCTGTGATTCGCCTATGAGCATGATAGAATTCATATGTTCCAACTCGCCCGCTTCGATTAAGGTCCCCCCAAATTTTCATTTTAAAAAAAATTCTCCTGAATTTTGTCAAATTCTCCCAAATTTTTAGAAAAGAACCTAAAATACAAAAAACAACTAATTAGTGGCTTTTTAGTACCAATAATTGAGTATTTTTGTCTCAATTTTTTCTTTGTCCGCCAACTTTATAACAATGTGTACAAAGGCTTTCTGAGTGTTACTGACACCCTGAGACATCTTGGGGGTGTGGACGCACTACACCATGATAGTAAATCATTCATAAATAGACCTAAAAATGTAGAAAATATAAATTATAACCATAGAATATAATTGAAAACAAAAACAAAAAAAAAAACCCCCAAATTTATATTAACAGCTTATTTTCTGAGACTAATAGAAGTTGAGTGGTCTGCTAAAGTTGTCAACCTACAAATCAACATCCTAATCAAATTATAAACATAAATCATTATAATCAATATTTATATAGAAAAATGCTTTTTAATATTTAAATTATAAATGAAAAGGTACAATTAAATACATGCAATATCAATCTCAATCTAATATAATTTATTATTCTTTCCTTTAGGCTGAACTTCGATTTTTACATTCTAAGCCAACATGCTTCATAGTCTTGGGCAAGCCAGGTGCTGGCAAGACCACCTTGGCAAATAAACTTGCCCAGACATGGCACTGTCAACTACTGCATGCCACAGACTTGATCCTTCTGCACATTGAGCTTCAAACAGAAACTGGTATTAAGATGCAAGAGATTCTGTTGAAAGGAGAAGCGTTACCAGAGGCTATGGTTGCTAAGATGATTGAGGACAAAATAAACTCCCCAGAAGTGGCTCATCATGGTATATTTATTATTCTTTGTATATTAAAAAAAAGAAAAAAAAGAAAAAAAGACTCCTGACAATTAAAAGCAAAAACAGGGAGCTCTTTTATAAAAAAAGTTTAATGAGACACAAGTATTTGTGTACACAAAAGTCAACCACATATCATTGCTTTAACCTTAAAGTCTTCGTTTATAGTCCAGGTCTCACTACCATTCAAAACTCAAACAAGTTTAAACACATTAAAAGTCAATAGAAAGAGGCAATGGTGTAAATAATTTTTTTTTTATTGAAACACAAGCATTCATGTACAAATACTTCGGGCAACAGCATCATATCATTGCACTAACCTAACAAAATTCCTCTTCACTACTATTCAAAACAAGACTTCAAACAAGAAACAGGCAGTGCTAATAGAGCATGAATATTGAGACATGAGTATTCATTTACACATTGCATATTTTCAAAGAGTTGATACTAATAATGTATCCTAAATGTAATTCTGTGATATCACTAATCCAGATTGAAAGATCTGACTTAATCTGAAGCTACAGTACGGTCGGCAACCTATGGGTCGTTACCAAACTTTACAGTGTTGTGTCACTCATTCACATCCTCATCTCCTCATTTGTCTACTGTTGAGGGGCATTTACCGCTTAGTGCATACTAGCTAAATTGGTGGGCATTATGTAGTCAAAACATGACAAAGCTGCAAGCAACCAATATCTGAATTAACACAGTCGAACTAAAACGATGGAAATCCAAAAATCCAAAAATAAAACAGAAAAGCTGCTTTAAGTAATTATTTTCTTTAATAAGTATGGCTATCAAATTATTATATTGTTGTTATGAGACACAACAGTACTTCGATATACAGTAGAATCCTTTTAAGGGGACACCTTCATAGGGATACCCCTATTCAGGTGCCAGTAGAGTAACGACTCAAAAAATGGGTACATGTAACATGATATAATAGAATCCTATATGAAAGTACACAAAAAAGAAATCCCCATGGTTATGGGTAAAATTTGACAAGATTGGTTAGATGAAGGCCTATACAGAAAGATATTCTGGTTTGATGTGAAGTTTTTTTTGTGCAAATGGTGTCAAAATATAGTTAAAAAATATTTTTTTTATTTTTAGACTGTAGATTTTGTGATACTGTACAATGAAAAGAAAATAAGTATCCTCCTTACTAAGAGTTGAATATGTATTGATTTGACCATTTGGCACACCCAGAGAGTGTTGCTGTCTCATTATTAGGGGTGTCCCCTTAATAAGGGTTTGCCGTAGTGTTAAAAGATATAATTTTCTCATTTCATGGTAAAATGTCCCCAGAATAGAGGTTTCTCGGGTTGTATCACATTGTTTGAATATTTTGATTCTTGGATGACATTTCTAAGATAACTGGAGGTCTTGGGTCGTGGGAAGCTATGGCCAAAAATTATGGGTCCTAAGGAGTAAAAGTTGCCGACTGTAGATCTAAAGTAAAACATACTTATGAATGTTTATTTATTACTATTTTTATTTATTACCTCTGCCAAGGAGATTATGTATTCACTGCAGTGTGTCTGTCTGTCTGTCTTTCTCTCTGTACTAAGTTAGCAAGGTTATAGCAAAACTAATGAACAGATCATCATAAAATTTAGTGGAATGGTACATAATAATCAAAGAAAGACACCATTTAATTTTTACAAGAAAAGGTTAATGGACAAGGTCTGAGTCACAATAATGGAATCACCTCTCATATCCAGGCATCCCTTGAGAAAACAAACATTATTTTCTTGAGGGTATACTGCAGCATGCAAGAAAGTAATGTGCCTGAATACAGCTGGACAATTATTATTAATTATTGGAGGGTATGCTGCATTTTGGCCTATTATACATGGCCTGCATATTGTTGGTTCTGTCCGCATGGGGCTAAGGTATGCATTCTATGGAGTGACTGCTCTACAGTAGTTTCTTTATTATACTTGGAACAATAAAATTGGCCTACCTTGTCAAAACAAAAGTTTACATTTTTTAATTATGATTAAAATAAAAGTGATATAAATGTAATGTTATTATTTCTTTTTAAAAAAATCAGTCAAAAACCACTTATAAATGTATACTTTTAAATGAGTCAGAATGCTTTCATGTGCCTTTTAATTTGTTAGTTTAACTCAATTCTCCTTTTAGGTTATGTACTTGATGGTTTCCCATCGCTAAGTGAAGACTACATGACAATCCCAGATCAATTGGAACTTGTTAAAAATTGGAACTTGAAACCAGACTTCATCATTAACATAAAGGTCAGTTGGGACATTCAATATTTGGGGAAAACTTTTGTACAATATTATAATTTCAGTTAGTGTCCCTCCTGTTCTTTTGTATTCTGTCAACGATAAATGCTGAATGTCCACCTCAAATAATATTAGGTACCGGCAACAATTTTTAAAAGTTTTTTTTGCAACATATTTGTTCATCTCACCAGATAGAGGGCATGAAAACTAAGAGAATGGTACTTAAATTTTTATTTTTGGGTGGTTGGTTGCTGAGATATGGCCATTCTAATATCTGCATTTTCGCGCACGCCGTAAAAGTGTAAAACGTATGGTTTTCAGCATGCTGTAACGACAAAAGTATGTGAGCTACGCAATTCATTTTTTTATTACTTTATTGCAAACAAAACTTTTATAAACTATATAAAATATCAAGGCAATA